TTCAAAGTCTCCTGGAGACATACAGCTGAGTTTGTCTGCATATTTATACTAACTGAAGCTTTTTTATATTATAAACTGAGTCATAGGCAGCAGCTAGATGCTAAATAAAAGGGGCCCTGAGATGGAGCCTTGGGGAACCCCATGGTTCTGTTGCTTAGCTCTCTGGTTATCCTGATGTTTCAGGATTTAAACATGCAGATTTTTTTTTCTCTGATGTCAGATCAGCGCACCGGAGGCGGCCTCTAAGGATCCAGCTTTGCCGCTCATCGACTCCCACGCTCAGAACCTCATCCAGAAACGGATCACGGTGGAGCGGCTCAGCAGCTGGTAGGTGTTCTTCTCATGGTGGACTCTCTGTTCACCTGCAGTTTGTTAGATGGGTCTGTAGTTTAGATGAAAACCCGAAGCTTTGGTCCCTCAGATGTGTTCCTGTTTCTCAGCGTGTCGATGCTCTGGATGTTAATGTTAGGAAAGATATTTTAAAAATCAAACCGTAATTCCGATATTAGAGATGAATAAATTCTCATACGTCTTGCTGTGTTCCTCAGCCTCAGAAACATCGTGGGTCCGGTGGGCCTCACCATGAGCGACGTCTCCACAGACCTGAACCACCTGGTCAGGACATTCAGGTCAGTTCAACAGAAACAACAACATCCCCGCCTGCCAGCATGCTTGTAGCGACAGTGGAGAGAAAAACTCCCGTTTAACAGGAAGAGGAAGAGCAGAGAGCGTTAAGTTTCAGGTTGAACTAACAAATACTGCAGCGTTTAGAGACCCAAGCGACACAAAGCCATTTTTGCCGATTTAAGCAACAAAAATATGAGAAAATCTTAACCTTTGTGTCTTGTTGCGACAACCAATCAGAGACTAGATATGGCAGTGATGTACATTAATAAGCATTCCTGCAAATGCACCAGAATTAGCCAAAAGGCAGTTTTATCTGTTGTCCGTGGACAGATCTTAAATTATCTATCTAAAAACACAACCTTAAGAGTTTTACTGCAAATAATACAAATATAAAAATAGCTTCAACCTCTCAACGACCCGTTTTATAGTATTTATAACTAATAACTCAGAATACATGAAAATTACACCAATAAAATGTTTACCAATATAGATGTTAGACATCGTTGGAAAGCTTCGATTCTCCACTATTCAACCAACAAGTTCATTTTCTGGACACAGCGAGCACCAAAGCACAATTAATACAGATATAGCAGCATGTCAAAATGTAAACATGACAAAGAAGCCACAACAAGGAAGCAGGTCTTTATTACTACGGTTCAGAAAAAGACTTATTATTTTCTAGAATAAAAAAAACACGTCATATTTGAAGTGATGCAGCTTGGGAGGTGTTTTAGTCCCCGAATTTCCATTTATATATTCAGAAACTAGAAGGTGTTAGCTTTCAAATAATGTATCACACATGTCTTTTGGGTTTACAGTTCCTAAGTTATTTGCTTTTCCATTTGGGTATGCAAAATATGTTAAATTTCCAAACAATTAGGTGGATGGAAGTCCCAAGGTCAGGATTTGGTTCCCCTGGGCGGAGTGTGTGTTGGGATTTTGTAAGGAAGAAATGTTTCTACTGAGGTTGCCTCAGTCAGAGCTCCATCTCTCCATCTGAGGATGTTAAATAAATTTGAACCTTTTTTCTTGCAAGAAATGCCTCTGCCTCAGCTTCCTAACTCCACACAGACCATGGATTATTTTGTAAAAACAGACTGAGGTTTGTATACTTGATGACATTTTCCCAGCTAAAAAGCTTGTTTTTTTAGTAAAATGGCACAATGGTGGTATTTTATATTAAAAATGTAGTTGCTAACGTCCAGCAGACCAATAGAAAAGCATCTCTGCTCCTCCCTCCAGAGGAAATCCCGCCCCCAAATGTGAAGATCATATGATCTGGAAAAGATATATAACTTATATAAAACTCAATCTGAGAAAATAAATAATAGTTAAAAAGATGATAATCTGTAAAAACAAATCAGGAAAAATAACATTTAAAAATATTAAGTCATGTAGAAATTTCAAACAGAAAAATAAACCAGCAAAGTAGTAGTAGTAGTAGTACTAGTACTTTTTTCTTATCAAACTTCCATTTACAAAATCCTTTCTTTACAACAATATTGGGACAACATTCACTCCATAAAAACGTACTAAAATCAGTTAATTCTTGTATAAAACATTTATTTTTTTCAATGCATTGTTGTTAAGCATTCATGTCATCATTTAA